GAGGCACGGTCGACTACCAAATGTCAGTTGGCAAGTCTCGATGTTTTTTGGACAGTGATATCTTACTCATGGGCTGCTCCTTCTTGTTCTTTGAGGCGTGGAGCTTTCCTAGCCTTTGGTCTCTGATCGAGGCCTTGTGAAGACGCTTGGAGTCTCTGGAAAACTCATGAAGGGCTAGGTCATGGCCATTGCGCTTCTTCGCAATGTGCTTGCGAGCCTTTTCTAATGTTGAGGGCATCTTGACGGTACTGGAAAACAGAACGAGTGAGACCGGTTCAGTCCACAGTAAGATTGGTATCTGAGATCAATGATTCCCAGAGTTGAACAAGACGCAGAATGAGATTTGCGATGGCACTGGTTCTGTGAAAGTCGGTCTGTGCCCCACCCGATGAAAATCCCATCCGAGTCTGCAGGCGCGTTTGCTGTGTGCACGGACATTGGATGAAAAGACTCAATACCTGCTGTCTCCACTCTAACCCCAGGAAGGGTCCAATGGCCTTCAACCAAACCCGGGCAGAGTGACGTTGCTCTGGATATCCCAGTCTACGCACGCTAATCCTTTTTGGGGGGCATCTCTCAGCCTGGTCCCTGCGTAAAAATAAAGATTTAAAAAAGAAAAAGACAGAGAGAGAAAGAGAACCGGGAGTCGCGATATGAGTCTGACGCGGTGCGGTGTGTCCACCCGCGTTCCAATATAGCAGGCCCAGGTCCCCCCCGGGCGATTCCACTGTCCCTTTCCCGTGCAGGAAGCCGTGATTCACTCCACCTGCACACTTTCGCTCCTCCGATCTCAGCGTCGTGGTGAATTTCTGTCGACCTCGCCTTTTCCCCTCGTCCAGTTCTCCAACCTGTCGTCGCGTTTCCTCCGTACAAGTGGCATTTCCGAACTCGTCAACGTAGCGCCCGAGTGCTTTGTTTACATTTGCCCCCGGATCACCTGACTTGGCGTTCCGACTTCCACTTCTTACGCGAACGACTTGCCCACGCGTCATTCTCTCTCAACGAATGGACTGAGCATTGATCTCCCTTTGTCGACCCCGGCTTCTGGCCTGTGAATCGGACTGGAGAGAGACGTAGGCAACCTTCAGGAGATATTGACTTGCCAACCTTTGAGGACCTGCGAACACTTCTCGCGATCAACAATGGGCGTCTCAGGTACATTTCCTCCCTTGCTTCCCGCCTGGCGAACCTCCTTGCTCACCAAGAACCCCTAGGCCTGCTTCCGTTGCTCAAGTCCATCCACAGGCCAACCGAGTTGAAGAAATTCGCCGGTGAGACGCTCGGCGTCGACGCTTACGGATGGCTTCACAGAGGAGCCATTGCCTGCGCTGTTGATCTGGCCAAAGGCAACCCCACCCGCAAGTAAGTGGCCCTAGCAATGCGCTGTGCATGGCGCGCTTCCCAAGACGCAGCCAAAGGTTTGTATGCCTAACCTTGCCTCAGATATGTCGACTTCGCCATGCACCGGGTGAGGATGCTCAAGCATTTCGGCGTCACACCATACATTGTCTTTGATGGCGATTTCCTTCCCAGCAAAGCCGCCACCGAGGGATCCCGCGCTAAACGTCGTGAAGAGAGCAAGAAGTCTGCCATGGAGCTTCTCAGAGCCGGAAAGTCATCACAAGCAGCCCTCGAGTTTCAAAAGGCCATTGATGTCACACCAGAGATGGCTCGCAATCTCATTGACGAATTGAAAAAGATGAATATCTCGTACGTCGTCGCACCGTACGAGGCTGATGCTCAGCTTGTTTACCTCGAACGCCAAGGCCTCATCAACGGCATTCTATCGGAGGACTCGGATCTTTTGGTTTTTGGTTGCAAGCGGCTCCTCACGAAACTTGACCAGTACGGCAACTGTATCGAGATCAACCGGAGGGATTTCTGTGCGGTTCGAGAGGTTTCTCTTACGGGGTGGACGGATGACGATTTTCGCCGAATGGCCATTCTCAGTGGGTGCGACTATCTCGAGGGCATCAACAATATGGGCCTCAAGACGGCCTACCGGATGATTCGCAAGTACAAGACCATCGATCGACTGGTCCGGATGATCCAGTTCGAGGGCAAGCATCGCGTTTCAGAGAATTACATGTCTCGGTTTGCCCAGGCGGAGCTGACATTCATCCACCAAAGAGTCTATTGCCCGAAAGCGAAACGGTTGGTATGTTTAACAGAACCAGAGGAAGGCAAGGGTGTGGAGGATATGCCGTTCATTGGTGGTTACGTCGAGCCGGCCATGGCTACGGCAATTGCACTCGGAGATGTCAACCCCATCACCAAGGAGACCATCATCCCCGCGCCCATGCCTGGCTCCAAGACCGATACGAAGAGAAGACATTCTCAGTCTGCAGAGGCCCTTGCGGCTGTCTCTTCATCATCGACTCGCACGCGACAACCGACCAAACCGATTGATTCGTACTTCAAGGGCCACCAGCGTATTCCGATGGGTGAAATGGACCGCAACTGTTTCTCTGTCGACCCAGAGAGAGTTGCCGCTCTTACTCACAATGGCCTGGTACCCAGAGTCTTTCCCCTTCCTAGACCATATGTCGATGGCACTTCATCATCACAGCCTACCACCAGCTCTCGCCCGACACGAACCGCCCGTTCAAATACCTCCCCTCGCCTCTTACGACGACGGACCGAGCCCATCCAGGACTTACTGCAGCAACATACTCCTAGCAGCTCTGACGGAACCCGTCGTATCACCGTCGGCGACACGACAAATACTATAGACGACATTGATGCACTGATGAGAGGCGGTTCCCAACGGCCTCCCAAGAAGGTCCGTCTCTGTGCAGACACAGATATTACCGAAACGAAAACTGAGGAATCCCAAAAGAGCAAGTTCTTCTCCAAGAACGGAACCTCCACCAACAAGAACAAGGACAGTTTCCTATTCTCAGACGACTCCATCGACGAGGCACTACTGAATCTCCCTGACATTGATGGGTGGCATGCCCCGAAGCCCAAGTCAATCGCGGTCTACGAAGAGAGTCAGAGCACGGATACAGGTACGGAAGCAACTGCCGGTACGGACAGCCAGTTCAGCAAGGACGGAGAAATATCAGCCACGCCACAGACCGATCTGTCCGAAGTAGAAGACGTCGAGCCAAGCAAGCCTGTCTCGTCGCTCCCAGAGAAGGACATAAGACGGACGTCATTACAGCGATTTGCCTTCAGCTCTCAGCCCAGCCCTGCCGCCTCAAGCCAGCCCGACACGCCGAGCACCATTGCCTCCCAGCATTCATCGACTTTCACACCCTCGACTGCTGCTCCCTCCACTGCGGCATCCTCGATCACATTTTCGGCTAGCTCAATCGCAGCTGGCACGTCAAAGGCCACTCCTCTTCTCACCCCGCTACAGCGGATGGGAGCCCGTGCCCTCCAGCGCAAGAACCCGCCTGCCCGGCGGCCCCTATCTCCTACTAAGAGCACGATACAGCGGAGCCCCAAGCGCAGTCCCCGGAAGAGCCGGCTACTCAAGTCATTCCCCGTCAACCCGTCGTTTGTACCTCTGCCCAAAGTCGATCTGGCCGAGGTGGAGGCTCTGAACGCGCCGTGCGGAAGCGAAGACCAGATCATCCCCGATAGCGACGGCGAGAATGACGACGATGTCTTTGCCCACGACCTCGGCCAGAAGGACGACGGAGACTCCGTTCCCAAGGCGCTGAACCTTTCTCGGTTTGTATACAACTGAAGCAATTGTTAAACACATGTCGATGCGATACCCACAAACGTTGTGTCATTATTTTGTTCTATCCAGTTTGGAAGAAGGCGTTAAGAGTCACGCATCATTGAGGCGCCATGAGCGCGACTCCTCCAGGGAAATTTCCTGGGCACCCGGTCATGTTCTCCATCTCCCCCGACTCAGACCAGGGGCGGTATTTGATGGTCGCCATTCGAAATAAGGTCACCGAGGCGTACAGGCAGGAAGGCATTTGTATGCATTATCATTTGGCATGTCGGAGGTTACAAGGGACTACAAAACATGAGAAGCATGCCGGAAAGTCAAGAGAGACGGGGTAGCCAGGGTTTCTTGTATGCATTGTAATTACTAGGACACCATGGAGTTTTTAAGTAGTGATGATGGGAATACATCATGGCCGGAAGACCTTTTTTTTCTGATGAAGCATGTGTCCCACTGCTTGTGATCGGCCTACAGCTTGATGGGTCAGTGTTGAAGTCATTACTTACCACAACCTACCTCCGCAGTCATCTCTTATCTATAGGGTTGTCGCTGTGGGGTCGTCCGTCTCTTGAAGGATCTAGCTATACGTTCAATCTCGGCCCGGACCGGGAGCCGCCTAGCGCCCAATCCCACCTTATTACAGCCCTTTCCATATGAGCGTGCAAGGAACCACCAAACAGTACCCGTCGGCCATAAACAGACAGACAGAATTGCAAGTTATCCTGATTGCAAATCCCCCATGTCTCATATGATTCACACATCTATATCAGAAGATGGAATCCGGGATGGAAAACTGGCAAGGACGTGGTTTTGCCCAATGATAAAAAAAGAAGAAGCCCGCCGTGCCTGGGACACTGGGCATGTAACCTGAAGACCTATACCATACACAATGCTCATGATGCGCAAGCAGTCATTCCCTTGCCTTCCTTTACTATGAAAGAGAGAGGAGAAAAAAAGAATTCCAACTCGTTCCATACTTGGAACACTAAAGTGATGGCCCCAAGGCAACAGCCGATCCTTCCCCATGTTGATTCCGTTTCTGGGTCTAATGCCTTCATCTTCCAAGGTTTCCGTCTCAAAACCCACGCCACAAATCTTTTGCGTGACTCTCTGAGTCCACGCTTCTGTGTACATCCGTACCAAGCCAAAAATGCGATCCGCGAGCCTCACGAACCATGCGAATCGTGTTCCTTCACCACGGCAGCCGCCACTGCCTCACCACATTGTCGACAGGCAAGGGCTCGTTGTAGAAGAAGTCGTCGTCGCTGTCTTCATCGAATTCGCGCTCCACCGGGGCCGCATCATCCACGATCTACTGACGACGACTGCTTGTGGCACCGACTGGTGAAGGTCCGTGAAGATCTACGTTAAATGTCCAACGTCCTATTACGGTCAGTTCTTATTCGATCGGCTTCATATTGCGAACATACCATTGGCCAGGTTGTCTGCAGTGTCTTCAAGCAAGATAATCCTTCGCTTCTTGCAGTATGAAGTCTTGTCCATAATGTCGACTTTCAACTTCTTGTCACAGAGCTCCTGGACGGGCTTCTCAAACATCTCTGACAAGGCCTCGACAGCCATCTCAAGGTCCTTTTGGTTATCTTCAAAAATTTCGGTCAAGTTGTTACGCGCCAAATAAAATGCGAAGGCGTAGGTCCACTTAAGAGTCTGCCGGCAAGTTTGCAGTGTCTGTGAGGCCTGGTTCAGGTATTGAACCTCAATCCAAGACATGCCTGAGGCTGTCTGAAGCTGGACCATCTTCTTCTCCGTCTTATGGTAAATGTCTTTGTCTAGCTTGGCAGACTGTTCGTGATTGGCGTATCGGTTGTAGTAATGCAGGTAGCGTTCTAGCGATATGCGGGACTTGGCCTGGGCATCACGCGCATCTGTACCACTCTTTTCCTCGAAACGATTGCAGTTGTACCAGCTCGTGCCGTGCTCCGACCATAAGCCCATGCACATCCAGCAGAACTCATGCTTGCACTTTCGGCATGTCATGTGGTTGCAGCCGCCGTTCTTCTCGATTGTCGAGTTGCACTTGGGGCACTCCTTGGTATTGGCCGATATCCAATTTGCAGTCTCCGAATCGTCTGCGCATTTCTTCAGCCATCGCTTGACAAGCTCACAGGGAGCAGGCTGATGGTCAGTTAAAATGCAACCAAAGCAGAAGCGGTGACCGCAACCGCATGCTACTGTGGGAACGATTCTGTCCAAGTCCTTCTTCTTAATGGCGCATTCCACGGCATTTGGGCAGTCGGGTGCAGGGCACCACTTCAGGATCTCCTTGTCCTCCACGTACGTCCGATTTAACAGCTCGTGGTATCGGGAGTTGAGATCGGCTGCAACGAGCAGATCCAAGGACTTTGAATCGATGATGCGGCCGCAGCCCTCGGCCGGACACTGGATACGAGCCGCCTCGCCTTCTTCGCGAATCTTTTGAGTCAAGTATTGGCGGTAGCAGTCTACGCAGTATCTGTGGCCGCACTTAAGAGAGAAGGTCTGGAGGCCCTCCTCGTCTTCGCAGCAAATGTCGCACATGAAACCCGGAATGGCTTCAAGCTTGGGCGGGCCAGCCACGTTCGAGCCAAGACCTGCAGCCTCCAAGACCTTGTTGGGAGCGTCCATGTAGTCCTCGATCAAACGTTCTTTGTTCCACCTAAAGTGCCGCAACAATATCGCGACATCCTCCTTGCGGATGTTCAGGATCATGTTGACCTCGTCAATCATGTCATCCTGTTGACGCTGAATATCCTTTGGTTCGTAGACTTTGAATGAGATGTCATAGGCCACCTTCTTTTTGTTGTCGGAGTCTTTGATCATGCCCAGGTCCTCGGGCTCGTCTTCGAAGTCATCTTCATCGAAATCTGTGGAGGTATCAAAGACGTCAGTCGGTGGTTTTGAGGCCGGAGAGACTCGGTTGAGCGGTGTATACATACCATCAGGACCAGACATGTCCTCGCCGCTGTCATCCTGCATGATCTCGTCGTCGCTCGAGGGAGCCGACATGAAGTCCTCCTCTGAATCCATGCCGTTGCTCGCGGTGGTGACGGGGGTTGGGGGAGCGTCCTGTCCAGCAGCCGAGGCGATCCTCTTCTTTGTCGCGGTGTCTTGGTTATTGGAGGATATCGTCGCCTCAGCGGCCTTTCTCTTCCGCGTAGTGGGAGGAATGGTGCCGACTGCAGATGGAGGCGAGGGAAGCGTTTCCGAGGGGGCGGAAACGGGTTGAAATGTATAGGCGGGTGAGACACGGATGACGGAGATGGAGAACGAGGATCAGATCCAAACGAGGGGAGAAGGAATGCCTGCGTTGGGCGCCGGTCGCGGTATGGGAGTCACTTGATGGGTGGAGGGGTAGATTGGTAGGTTGCAGGCTGCGATGGCCCAAGGCTGAGGCAACACACAGGTACAAAGGCTGGGAAGAGCCGGGCAGGTTATACAAAGGTGCTCGCAGTATGTGGTCGTGCCGAGAAAGGGCGGGTTCGAGGTCGGGCGAAATCAGTCAGAGCGGTAGGCGGCAATAAGGACCTGGCTCGGTTGCCTGCGGTGTAGGAATGCCGCAAAGATGAGTGCGAGGGCGGTAGTCTAAGGTATGGGTGATGGGTGTGGTGGGCGTGGATATGTGGATGTGAAAGTGGGATTGGAATGCGTTGCGGGAAAGGTGAACGACCTGAGTGAGCAACTGAGCGTGTGGGATGTGGGTGGGATGAATGGGTGGATAAGGTAAGGTATGTAGCGGGAGGGAGTCGGATGGTTTGGTTTGGCAGTCATAGACAGTCAGGACCAGGCAGTGACTTCCTTCCCGCCCAGCGAGTGACTTGTTGGATCCAATGACGGAACTCAGACGTCGGGGGTGTTGGTTGGAAGAATGCACTGGAGGGAAGAAGCCGAGTGACTTCATGAATAGCGGGCAACATCAGCAAATGTCAAGTACCTCGATGGGGCAGGGGACAAACCCCCCGCTGGGCTGGCGCGGGCTTGCACCGTGAACTACCGGTACTTACTGTGTAGGGGCAGGGCCAAGGGGGACGGGAGGACACTTCCAAAGTCACTCTCACCACACACTCTGGTAGCTCAGCCCTTGCAACTCTTAGTATTAATGTCACTGCACAGGCTGACTGACTCTAGGGAATCGTTTAACATGAACACCATCGACACTACGTTCCAATACCCATCTCCTATGTCCTTGGGATTATGATGGCGGGATCCAGTCCCAAAATGAGTAATGTGAGTGAGTACCTTCCCTAGGTACCCCAAGTACCTCCTTAGAGGTCAGGAGTGAGGGGGGACATGGTCACAAGGTTAGAGATGCTTCTATTTTGCGCTTCCAGCGCTATCTTTACATCCACGGATACAAGCCTAGGGAAATTGATCAGGCACTGATGAAAGAGGCGGGCTTCAGGCACACGACTCGATAAAGTACCTCAGTCTCTCCAATCCCGCCGGGGAGGAGACCAGTTCTCAAACTCCTCGGGGGCCAGATGCGGCCCCGTGCCAGTGTCATTGCAATAGTCGTTGGCCAGTGATTGTGTCTGACGGCGTGCAGGTGACTCCATGGACCTTTGGCACTTACAATTTGGTCCTTGCCTCTGGGACAGTCCGGAGTTGGGCGATGAGGGACTCAGGAGTAGGCCAGGTATACGGATACCTAGAAGCGAAAGGGTGGTCTTTGGCTTTGGGCTTGATGCATGGCATGACGGTAGACGACTCACAGAGCTGCCCTGAGCGCCACCACCACCCTCGAGAGTGTCACCTAGAGTCAAGACTCAGTGTTTGTCGCTCGATAAGCAGTGCGGAACCTGACGGAACTGCCCCTCGCTTTCTCTTAGTCATTCATCCTTATCGATAACGACGTCGCATTCTCACGTTATTTGCCCCTGCATTTGTCAGGCGGGAGCGGCCCGGCACCAAGTGGCTCCGATGTCGCCGGTCATCGGGTGCATGTCGGGTGTCCACAAGTGTCCCCGGCTCGGCCAACTTTGGCCCCGAGGTTTCCTTGAGCTTCGGTGTTACAAGCTTGACAAATGCGATAGTCTATGATCATTGTCAATTACCTCAGGTACTCATATCGTGTCCGACATAATAGCTTTCTAAGCAGACGAAAGAAGCATTCGATTTCTTTGTGGACCCCCTAGGCCGATACGTGAAACACCATTCCTTCTCAGTGCTGTCAGTCAGGGGTTCGGATTCGGAGACACGTCTTTTGGGTTTGTCTTTGAATTCAAGCTGGTATTCGCGATGCATATTGCATCTTCTTTCAAACTGCAGCTACCTAGTCCAAGTGGCCTTCGAGGTTCTTTTTCTTGTAAATCTTTGCAACATCGCAACTCCGAGTCCATGTCTTCTCAACCCAAGACCTTGTCGGCCAGGGAAACTGTTCGCACTGTCAGCTAGTTCTCATAAGGCGTGTTACGGGTCCTCGAAATCTTACCTGCGGTACCAATGTTATCGGGCTCAACGTGGGCCTCCTTGACCTTTCCGTTCTCGATCACGAGGGTATAGCGCTTGCTGCGGTCGTTGCCGAAGATAGCCTTGCTGTCAAAGTCGACGTCGAACGCTCTGGTGAACTCGCCAGACGGGTCTCCCAGGAATCGAATCTTTCATATTGTTAGCATGCCAACGCTGCCTCGGCGCAAGGCAAAAGGGGAGAGGGTATGTCAACATACTCCAGTCTGGGCGGCGGGGTCCAATTGGTCACCCCAGGCCTTCATGCTACTCGGTCGTCAGTATCAATCGCTTTCTTTCCACAAATCCTTGCTCTGAAGCCTCAATGAGGCTTCCAATCCTCCAAAGGCGTCAAGGTCCCGGAGAGGGAAACCTACACAAAGGGGTCGTTGACGGAGACGACAAAGACGGGTCCGGCCTCCTTGAGCTTCGGGTGGTTGATGTACGAAGGGATGTGGCTCGCGGAGCACGCGGGGGAGAAGGCGGCGGGCACGCCAATGATGAGTCCATTGGTGACCTTGCCAAACTCCTCGGCGAGGTTGACCTTATTACCGGGCGAGTTCTCGACGAGGTCGACCTCGGGCACGGCGTCGCCAACCTTGACGAAGGCGGCGGGCGTCGAGTGGAAGGCACGCGCCGGCACGGCGGAGCGGGTGAGGGCGAGTCTTCTTGCGGCGAAGCGGAAAGCCATTGTGTCTGTAGGTAGCTAGGTACGCGTTTTGAGGATGAAGCTAATGCGGTGTGAGTGTGGAAAGTTTGGTAGATGCTTAAGCTCAATGACGAGGGCGCGAGGCTGGATAATATGTGTTTGTGTTGGGAGCTTTCCGTTTTCCTGGGGACAAGAGCTTGGGGGGAGCTTTGGTCTTTTCCCCAGACGCTGCCCTGGAGCTGAAAGCTTGAGAGGGGCCGCGCCCACTGCCACTGCCCGCGCCAATTGAGACATTTGCTTGGCTGAGCTCGCAAATTGCCATGACATCAGACCAACGTCCAATGGCAAACGTCCCCCCTGCGTCCGGCCCTCTTCCCCCTGTGAGACAATCATTTTGTACCTACTTACCTAAGGTACCGTATCCATAGGCAAATTTAGTGAAGTTCTGTGTAGGGAACACTACTAGGTGTGTAATAATCCCAAGATGCTAAGAGGCTAAAATCCTTCTGGCGCGGTCGTGCTGGTCCACCGTATTTGTTCATAAGCCCCGGGGCGCTGCAACGCAAACTCGACTTGTCATGCACGCCACCAATAACGTCTGCATCTCGTCAACATCTACTTTCTTTTTCCGTGATACTTGCTTTTATGGCGCTGTCTCTCAAGGTCCTTGGGTCCTTTTCCCAATCGGCTGGCTTTAGGACTCGGGGGCTTGATAACCACACAATCAGCAAGCACCCTACGCAATTGGAACGTCAATTGACCGTTGAGATCAAAGCCTAATGGGGGGTATCATTCATCATTACGGGCGTTCTACTCGCGGCGTTGCCGCCCAGCTAATACTTCTACCTCTCATAACTACCTTATCCGTTTATCATCGTCCGTTACCGTCTCCGTTCCTCCCAATGCCCTCTATCTCATGCATCGGGAGCCCTCAATTCCTGCCTCAGACTTCCGTCGGCGTCCGGAGGACCTACGTTATACCGTTTTGACTCAAGACTGTTCCCATTGTCAGTAACGCGCAAGTTTTAGAGAGGGTGATCCAAGGTCGCAAACCTCCAAGTCAAGTTGCCGGTGCAAATCGTCTTGAGCGTCGCAGTCACCTCCTGAATCGCGTCCGCATCCGCCAGGTTCTGGTTGATCAATCTTCGCTCGCAGACGTCGAGCTGCTTAACGGCCTTGTCAATCTCTTCTACGACTTCTCCGACAGCACTCTCCAAGTCACTGCCGTCTTTGCCATTCCAGTACCGCACCGGCACCGCGTTGAGAGTCCGGCCTTTCCGCTGCTCGAATGATTAGTTTCTCCCGCTCACGCAGCACCACCACGACGAATCTACTTACCAGCTCTTTGTTCAGCGAGAGCAAGTCATTCGTCCTATTTCCAGAAAAGCACCCCGTCAGCTTCTGGACGTCTCCATTTCGGGGTATATTAGAGGGGGAAACTGACAGGCCAATGATAATGCTGACCGACTCCAGGATCATCTTATACGGCTGCGAGTTGACGACGTGCGCCGGCCACTCTGATCCAGAGGCGAACCTACTTTCGTCAGCAGAAATCCTACTTTCTCAGAGAGGTACCCTCATATTCTTTCTTACTCTACCAAGGCGCACAGAGGGCCAGCGCCCCCCGTCTTCTTGCGAAGCTTCTCATACGATAAAGTCGTCGGCGCGTGTCCGCTCTGGATGTACCGCATCTCTTGCACGGTCGAGTCAATGTACTCAAATAGACTAACCCTTAACCTTCTCCGCTGATCTGCCCACCACCCAAAAAAATCAGCCCTCAGATTTCGCTGCTACACCCAGATACGAGAAAAACTGACCTCGGTCGTACTGCTGGCAAATGACTTTGGCAACCGGCTGGAACCCCGCAATGACGGGGTTCGTTGACGCCTCCTTGGGCCCCTCGGAAAGCTGGAGATACTGCGCAATGTAGTCCTTGGCCTTGTTGCGGAAGTCTTTGGCCTTTTCCGCGCTCTTGTACTCGAGGCTTTCGATATGGTCATCGAGTCTGCCCTGCCAGAGCACCATGAGCGTCAAGGTGCCAAGTCTTTCTCTTGTTGCGTTGGGCCAGAGGCTAACGTCACACACAGACAACTTATCAGCAAGTGCTGGGGTTTTCTTCTTCTTTTTACTCTTCTTGGGGATATCTTACCATGAAGCTAAGAGAGCCGGATTTGCTTCTAGGACATTGGCCTTGTCTTTCGGTGACGCATCGCTGTAATAAGTCAGCATAACGAAACCATTCCATCTTCATATCGGACAAACTCACCTCTGCTCCAGTAGTTTGCAAATCAACCCCTCAACCTCGGAGGCATGAGTATTCTTTCCAGACGGCCAGTGGCTGACCATCCGGCGCAGGTCCGGGATGACCATGACCAATCCATCGAGCCGACTGGCTAGCTGCGCGCTCTCGGTATGCGCAGCCATATTTGCAAAATGGTATAGTTACCTCGGGAAACTTTGAAGTTGCGCGCAGGATTTAGCAAAAAGGGGTCCGGCTTATCGAGATTGGATTGGATTTGGGTTGGATTCCTTTTCCGTCCTTCTTTTCTAGAATGTATCCAACGAACGTCACCCTGTCTGGCACTTAGGCTAAAAAGGGCACACTTTCAGATTTCTCCCCCTTCTTTTTTCCGCGTTGGCATGTGCGTCTTTCTCTCTGTTAATGATGCGGATAATGGGTACAGACAGGACTTTTTGCTTTGCTGGGTTCCTGGTGTGGAGCATTGCGAGATTAAGTCAATGCTACCCCAAGGGAACTAACTCCCCTATTATGGGAATGCTTTTCAAGGAGAGAAAGAGAGAGAGTGACCGATTCAGTGATTGTCGGACATCGTTTCCCTATCAGTGAATCATTAGATAGGCAACTTTGTCCTGCCATTCCCACCCCCTTGGTGAAGTTTGTCTGGCAAGCGTCTACGGATTGGGAGGTGGGGGAGAATTTGCGGGTTGGCCCGCGTGGGAAGCGGCTGGGGTGGGCGTGGCGTTGTAAGTGACAGTTGACGTGCTCGAAACAAGCTTAAGTCTCTTCACCGGGCTCGGTAATTTTCGGTGAGAACGGGGGAATAATGATATATATATGTCAATTTGCGAGTGTTCATGTGCCCACCGGGATATTCTATCGAAATCGAGGGTGATGAGTATAGTCTAGGCATTAATGGTATCTTGCGACATCCCCAATCGCTCATGTTTTGAAACAAATACTACCATCCATCGACGATACTAACATCCCCCGCCGAATGCAACGCTTCACTTCATGCGGCCTCGCAAGCCGATGCGTGGTCGCCGACAGCAAACGACACTATGATAGTCGCCGACGTTCAAGTTGACCACCTACAACAATTTGGACACACACCGTCCATTGCCGAAACACTAGCCTACAAACACAACCAACTTGCCTCCTCCAAGTGGCAATGCTGGTGGTTCACAGCGAGCATGGCTGTCCATCAGCGTCTAATGTGGTAAGGTGTATCATGCCACATTGGTTTGCCCATCCCATCTCATCCCATCCTATTTCATCACGAACCGGCCTGTCGGCTCTTTTCCGCCGCGTCTTCGACTTGACCCGCCACGTTTGATAATGCGAACCATTCGACTTGAACTTACCAATCGTAATCAGAAACACTAAAGTCATGCTGCCACAAGCTGATTCATAGCATAGGTTATGGGATCGAAGCAGCCACACAGCATGGACGAGCTTGATTCCAATCCAAGCACCCGTGATGATGGCAACGATATAACGACTAGGATGGGCGATAGGCATAGGTCCGATAGGTATCGGACCTCTCGCAGTAGCTGTGTGGTCAATCTGACAGAAGGTCTTCAAGACGGCTGATAGGCAAGGTGAACAAGCTCTTGTCGGTCCATCTATCTCTGACACTGATATTTCAATGTCAAATCGACGAAGGCATGAGCAGAGCGATGAAGGTCGCTGATGTGATCAGAGAAGGCTTATAGGGGGACTCCCGCTACGAAACGATGATTTGCTTTGCTGATTCCATGCAGCCATCCTCTTCGTGCCTCGTCTGCCTCCAGCGATTCTGACGACGTTGAAGATATTGTCGCCATGAGCGCTGCCAGCCACTCGGACTTTTGGGTCCTCAAGTCGGTCGTTGGCACTTATGCCATTATACCACCGCGGTGTCTGTCAAGACAGCCCGTCTTGTTTCTAATCACCTGCTTTTCAACGCATTGAATCCTCGCCAAGGCAAATTACAGTCTCAGAGCTCTCTTTCATACGCAGTTGCTTCAGAGCATGCCGCAGACGAGAATCATGAGCCACCTCAACGCCGAAGCTACGACCGACCGCAGAATCCTTGAAGACACAGAGCGCTGCTCGCGACGACACCACGTTTGCGGGCTCTTACCCTTCTAGCTCTGCCATGGCTCATGTATATTGAAAGACTCTTTCAATGTCATCCTGGATGAAAGCTGGCGATGAGCGCGTATGCTGATTGGAGCACCTCAACCCCTGCATCTGCATGCAAAGCCTTCGGAGGTGATAGCTCAGGAGGTAGCGCAAGCTTCGCTGCAATGTTAGCCCATCTCAAGCTGTCAGACGATTGTGAATCTTGTCAACTCAATCTAATCTTTACATGCAACCTCTTTCAGAAGTGGTTAGAGTTAAGAACACAACTACACTGCAACTTTAGCCCCCCGCGAAGCTCTCAAGACGTTTTTCCACTTTAGCAACTCATCCCTCACATCTAGAGCCCGACCTCAGAGGTGGGGGGGCTAAAGCTTCACTGCAATATTAGCCCACCTCAAGCTCTCGAGACGATTGCTTACTTTGTCAACTGATTCCCTGAGAACATATTTCCCTCCCCCCCCTACACTTCACTGCGATTTTGGCTCCCCTCAAAGCTCTCAAGACGATTTTCCACTTTAGCACTTCAGCTCCTACACTCAAAGCCTGACCGAGGAGGTGAAGGTGGCGAAAGCTTCACTGCAACATTAGCCCATCTCGAGCTCCGAAGACCGTTCCGGCAAGTTTGCCGCCTCAACCCCTGCATGCAAAGCCCCGTCGTGGACAGCGGAGTCTTCACTGCATTCTCAACCCAACTCAACCACAAAGTTCCCACGACCAAGCTGCACAGCCTTCTTGCAAAGCAAGTCCCAGATCGAAGTCGTCTGTCGGCAACGCGAAAGGAAACATCTTCCTATCATTTGACCATGAGGCCAAGTTAAGGGCACCTTCTGTTCTCGGGCAGAGATCGTGTCTCATTAGGAATTGCTATGCTCTACCAATCTCGTATCGTATATTAGCTTCGGGATGTGACGTCGAAGCATCAGATCGACTCTACCTGAAGTTTTTAAGACAAGGTGATCAAATCAACAGGAATGATTTACAGACACCCGGCCTTTATTTCACAAGATGAGTGAAAGTTCAATATGGTGATAGACACATCTTACAGGTTTCGAATATGATTGCTGGGTTTCCCCCTTATTTCTACTTTCAACTTGGCTGTGAATGTGGAGGATGCATAGGAAAACATCTCCGCGTACAGCCAGGCTTCTCACCTACGCGCTCAGGCCAGTCCTAGTATGATAGGTATGCAAGAAGCACTGATGGTGGCCGTTTCGCGAGTGATCTGACGAACTGGCAAAGGGGTCCAAAAGTACTTAACCGCCTATCTTCCGGTGATGATCAAGACATGTTTCCCGTCTCATGTGAAAGACTCAGTTGCTCTGTCGTATAGTGCAGATATTGCAACTGGTCAAAAAACTTGGTTTTTTCCAGGCACATGTTCTTATTATCTTCTCTTTAATCATCTTACCGTGATACACCAAGAAGATTGTTCGCCGGTTTGCAGTTGATCTGATTTGTGGGAGCTTCAATGATGATACAATCTTCAATCACAATGTTCAGAGCTATCTCTGCGAAGACAACGCCTGCTATGAAGAATTGAATCCTCCCTGGCTATCACTCATGTACCCATTCTTCAGCTTTGAGTTTACCAACGGCACATGTGTCAAAACAGTAACATAACCAAGTCGAGGACATCTCACTGACCCTCCAAGCTCTCACTCTCAAGCCAGCATCCAAATGTACAGATTCTGACTTCGACTTGACGCCGTCCTGGTGAGAATTCGTCAAACCCCGCTCACTATTTTGACATCTTCCGTGAGGTCCACTTCACTTCCGACGTCATCTCATGCTCCATCGTGAAAGTACTCGTGAGACCAGAAGTAGTCCGCCTCCTGCACATCCCGAAATCCTGAGCCGGAATCTCATCGTCCATGCCTAATATCATGACACCTCTAAGCCAGTGACCAGCTCATCTTCAGCAACGCAGCTCTCATTTTCCAGAGCCCACTATAACCCCTCATGTTTCCAAAGACGCCCTTGCCCTTGAGCTCAAGCCCATTCAACTCATTGAACACATGCATCCTCCTTGTCACAATCTTCGCCATTCACAATTTAAGAGAAGCCACCCACTCTTCCCCCATCTCCAGTCCCCTTCACAAGCAAACTCGTCCACCCAACTCAACAAAAGCTCACGAAATTTTCCGACCTCAGCCTCATCTCATCTCACCAACTCAACCACCGCCGCCCCCAAACACCACCACCCCCTCTCCCCAAGGCTGTAACACGCCAACCAAACCCAATCGACCAAAGAAAACCATCGTCACCTTTCCATACCCCCTCCTCCCCCTCCCCTCCCCTTCCCCTATAGACAGCACACCCTACCTCACTTTCCCTCCCAACCTAGAAAAAGCACAACCAGCAAGACAGACCCAAAGGGCCCAGCAAACCGTACCCGGCACCCCTCCTCACCCCACCCTACAACCAAGACCTCTCAAACACAAGACACACACACTTCGGTCATATATACCACCGCCCCTATACCAACGCCCTCGACACCACCAAAACTCGAAACACAAACCGGGGGGAAAAAGAACCAAACAGCCCGAACGCAAAGGCGCAGCGCGACCACAGGACAACGTGGCAGACAGGCTCATGTCATCCCCCCTTCCCCCCTCCTCCGCCTCAACCGTTACTGTACTCACCTACCAATCCATCCCATCTCGGATGACAAAAGTCATCGGATGAAGTATACCCGACTCGAAAATTCAAAGCCGCAGCAGAGAGACACGAGACTTCTGCTTTTGCAACGAACGCGGTCTATTTGTGAAGAGGAACTCAGAAAGTCAATAGAAACCTTCGTTGTAGGAACAAAAACAGAGCAGAAAATCGAGACAAGACACAGGGGCGACGAACTGTCAAATCGTCGCTCAAATTAAAGTGAACCCCATCCTACACCCCCTTTTCCAAACCTTGATCGCGGAAGTCAATTCTTCCCCTCGTACGAGATCGTCACCTCATCATCGACAAATTTTCACAAGGGAAACATATCACTCTACGTCATCACGGAGAGAGACCAAGTTTTGAGAGAATCATCTACCTTCATTCCATTTCTTTCTCGTCCATCTTCTCTACCGTATCATTTCAGACATGAAGTGCAAAGGGGGACAGGACATAAAACCAAGAGAGTCGCCGGACCAGCCGAATACAACTTGCGCCGTCGTTGCGCATCAGGACGTGTGGATCGAAAAGAGACAAATGAGGACCAAAAAAAGGACAAGCAAAGTTGCAAAAGGCAGCATGAACCATGAATTTCCTGGTGCCGGCCGCCGAACAAGAGAATTAAAATGACGTAGCAGGTATATCGAGCGGGTGTAAAAAAAGAAGACTCCAAGCCGTACCGCCTATTCGCCGATATGATGTGGCGCGCAAGGCCGGACAAAAACCAAGTTCCCATATATCCACGGTGATAATCTTGTACGTGACCCAGTCCAGAGAAAGCTGCTCATAGTCTTGAGCACGCAGACACAGATCTAGGCGAATACGAAAGAGACAGGTATAATAACGCCGGTATGCGTATGGATGAACGAGATGGTCGAGAAATGAATTAAGGGCGGCCGTAGCAAGGAGGCGTTCATAAGGGTGGGAAGCTGGCAACGCATTGATGCAGACGGTTGCGAGGATGGAAATCGGAGGCGGTGCGACGATGAAGACGAAAACGTCGTGGTATCAGGATTCAAAGAGATGCCGAGAACGCCTAATTCGAAGAAAAGCCAGTCGAGGGTATCTCTGGGAGGAAAAGTTGTACAGCTGAGAGTTGAGAGGTCAAGTGGTGGCGTTTACCACCCCTTCTTTCTCGCAAATCGCTTGTTCAACAAAGTGAGAACCTTGGTGACGTTGAACTGGACGTACTCCAGATCTAGGTCGTCCTGGCCGTCTTTCTGCATCTCAAGCAGGTCGTCAAGCTTGAGATCCAGTTCAAGAAGACCGCGGTTGCGTCCTGTACAAGAGTCAGTAAAAGTTGCGCAATGGCCAATCGAGGTAACGTACCCTTGTAGTGGAGAGAGATAACAAAGGTTCCCGGCAGAGGGCTGGTAAAGTTGAAGTAAATGTTGGCCCTCCGGTTGTCCGGGACGTTGCTCTTTTGAATAACACCCTCCTTCTCCAGCTGCTGGTGAGTGAATTTGTAAGGTCCGAGGACCTGTTGCTTCTGCTGCTTGCGCTTGGTTCCCTCGCTTTGCGAACGCACGTTGTGCAGGTAGCTCTTGTACGTCTCCAATTGGCCAACGAGATAGTTGTTGTGGTCGCGAATGGTCTTGTAGACTTCTTCCAATTTGCCAGTCTCTTGAATAACTCCATCCTTGAGCGATCCAAGGTGTTGCAGTTCCTGCTCGACTTCGTCACGCAGCAGGCCGAATTGATCGCTCTTATCAATGACTTTCAGTTCCTGCAGCTGTGAGAGCAGCTCCATCGCTCTAATACCTTTACGGACCATGACGGCGTCGTTTCGGCTTGTAGCTGCGGCGTCGGCAATCCGCTCGAGTCGCAGAGGTCTTCGTGCGACGCTGCTGTTGGATGGGATCGATCGCATGATTTGCACAAAGACGGACTTGGCTTCCATAAAGTACACTTCCTCTTGCGTGATGTCGAGCGCCGCTGTCAAGTCGTCGATCGCTGTTTCCCATCGGCTAAAGAGGGGGAGGTTGATGGCGCGGTTCTCCTTGCGAGGAACCTGTGGGGGCGCGCCTCCTAGCTCGGACATGATGATGCCCAAGTGCGAGTTGTCATCCTTGCAGAGCTCTCCGTTGTGCTTCTCGATCAGGCCATGCATGGCATAGATTTCGTTCAGGGTGATGGACAGTTCCAAATCCTTCTTCGAGAGTGCGACGTAGTTATCCATTTCCAAGCTCTCATAAAAGTCGCCAACTTCACACAAGTCAAGCATGAATTTGTTGATACGCTCCTTGTTCTGGTAGATGAAGGGCTGCAGCTTTGCCATGTATGGCTCCTTGGC